AGCTAGACCTACTACGGTTACCCTCCAACTAGCAGATTGATCTATCATAAGACCTGAGGGAAAGATAGAAGATGTTTTAGTCCAGGTGGACAAATTCATTTTCCCTGCGGACTTTATCATCCTAGATTGCGAGGCGAACTTAGACGTTCCCATTATTTTGGGAAGACCATTTCTAGCCACTGGGGATACAGTTTTTAATGTGAGGAAGGGAGAAATTACAATGAGGGTAAATAATGAAGAAGTTAAATTTAACGTTTTAGACGCCATGAAATTACCAGGAGACTTTGAAGAGTGCTCTGCTATAAATAGCTTGAATCCTGTTATGGTTGATGAGTTTTATGACTTGTTAGTTACAGAGATTGAAGAAGAGCTTGATAAGATAGCAGAAGAACCGGAAGATGTGACTAATTCTGTTGAAAAAATACAAAAAGAAGAATGCAAGTCGTTACTTCCGTCCATAGTGGAACCACCCACTTTGGAGCAGGAGCCATTGTTGTCGCATTTGAAATATGTGTATCTAGGGGATAACGACACTGTACCAGTTATTATAACTTCCAATTTATCACCTACTAATGAATATTCTTTATTGCAGATTTTGCAGAAGCACAAAAAGGCCATTGGATGGACGATAGCAGATATCCGAGGGATAAGCCCGGCCTTTTGCATGCACAAAATCTTATTGGAAGAAGATGCTAAGAACTTTATCGAGAGTCAAAGGAAATCTTCTTATGAGAATGCTAAGCTGTTTAAGGAAAAAACTAAACAGTGGCATGATAGGCGTCTTCGACCGAACAATCTTCAAGAAGGTGATCTGGTTCTGTTATTCAATTCTAGGTTGAAACTTTTTCCTGGGAAACTTAAGTCTAGATGGTCTGGTCCCTTTCAAATTTTTAAAGTCTACCCATATGGTGCAGTGGATCTAGTTGACTCTAAGAGAAGTATTTTTAAAGTAAATGGGCAGAGACTTAAGCTGTATTTTGGAGAACTAGTGGATAGAGGAAAAACCTCTATTCAACTTTCAGGTCAATAAATGTTTGCGAAAAATGTTTTTCCTTCTTATCCGTTTTGAAAGAACAAAAGTAAAGGAAGGAAATTTTTGTATCTTACATTCTTTTTGTTTAATTATAAAAAGTTTTGCTTAGTAAGAATGTTCCTGAAAACGTTAAAAAAAAAGAAAGAAAGAAAGAAAAAAAAACGTTGAAAAAAATTACGTAGGTGCTTGGCGCCTGCCCTTTGCGAAAAAGAATCACGCAGGCGCCTGGCGCCTGCCCTGTTTTTCCAGCATTTCGAGAATTCTTCTTCCTTCGTGATTTGGGTTTCATTTTTCGACTTTTATGGGTTTTATTTTTGGTCAAACATTAATCCTTTGTGATTTAAGTTTCAAATCTCTCTTTAAACTCAAAAATACTTCAATTCTTGTTTCCCTAATCCTATTTGGAATTCAAACTTATTTTTCCTTTTAGGTTTAGGAAACCTAGTTGAATTTAAATCTCAATCCCTTTCCATTTAGGATTTAGTTTGGGGAAAGCTTTAAATAGACCCATTGCCTAAGCCTTACACCTCAACAAAAACCCACACAACTCTCTTCCAACGGAGCATGATGAGCATGTCACTCAGGATAGGGCCCTGCTGGTTTATGCCATGCTAAAGGGCATAGATGTGAATTATGGAGAATTGATCAATACCAGTATCCATGAGTGTGCCCACCGGACACGTGGTAAGCTTTATCACCCACGTTTGGTCACTTCTTTATGCGTGCGACAAGGTGTACAGCTCCCTGAGGATCAAATTAAGAGAGATGCCCCAATTGTGGAAGAGAAGAATATTCGGAGAATTATCGCTCATGCGCTACAATGAAGGGAAGGTATTGGGACGTCTCCTACATCGGAGATCCGTCGTCTCCGAGAGAAGAATCAACAGCTGCGAGATCAAGTTCGAGAAGTCGTGCAACATATCTACCACTTGAGGGCTTCATTAGATTTTGCGGTTTTACCTTCATGGCCTCCAGCGCTAGCTGCTATCCTTGGTCATCCATCTTCCAGTACCGACACTGATCCTAGTCCACAACCTCCAACCTCATGAAGGGGAGGTTCCTTCTTTGCTATTTTTTGTGTTTTATTCTTTTGGTTAATGACGTAGTTTGCATATTCTAGCATTACTAYGCATGTTTTTTTGTATTGATTATGTTTYGAGCTCAGTTGAAGCATGAATAAATTAGTATCGTTTATCTTCTGATCACTTAAAGTATGCCTTCACTTAACCTTAGTTTAGCTTTTCACATGCCTATTTTGAAGCATCTGTGCTGTGCATGTGATTTCATGTCGATGATGATTATAAGAGATTGTTGAGTTTTCTGTTCTATGYCTRACTAAGCTTKGAGCTATTTCCTTYGTTTATGTGATAAACTCATTTTCTTTTATGTCTTTTTGATCTTTACAGACTTTAAACTTTTTCTTTGCCCCTATATAGGAAGTCCTTGTCCTTTTTACTGTTAAGCCTTTTTCATCATATGCAAAAGTCTTTTCCCAGTGAGGACACTGTCTCTCTTAAGTTTGGGGGGGACAGTCGTTGTGTCAGTCATTGTTTCAGAAAGATAAAGTGTTATTATATTTGAAAAATCATGCTATTTTCTTTTGAAAAAGAGTAAGTTGGAAAGAAAGAAAGTATTGAAAAGCACTTAGCTTAAGAAAAAAAAGGAAAAAGAAAAAACAAATGAACAAAAAAAAGTTGCAAAAGAGTAAAAAGAGTCTTGTTGAGAGAAAATAAGAGTGGGGAAAATACTTGTGTTAGAAAGAAAAGAGTGGTAAAAACAATGAGAGTTAAAGAAAATGTATTTATGATTTTCGAGTCATACTGTAGACACCCATTTAGTTTTAGGTGTTGACTTTGAAAATTGCAGTAAGGATGGTGATAAGTGACTTCGTGTTTCTCATTGTCGTCGTCTTATGACCTAGCTGTTAGTTTCAAAGTCTTTCTACGAGTAGCTGTGGTTGAAACCGATGTTAGTGTGTGGAAACCTCAGGGGCTAGTAGCYGGTCTTTCAGATGTAAAAGTCTCAATGTAAAAAGGGAGTGTGCAGATTCCTTAGGGGTATTTGAAAACGTTTTCTGTTTTTTAAAGGAAAAAAAATTTTTGAAAGAGAAAGTTTTTATCATTTCAAACTTGGTTYATAGTGACTAAGCTTACAAAGCCAATAGAATGGTAGGCTTTGATATCTTTTACCTGAGACAATTTATGATTTAACATTTCGGTTGCTTTTGCTTTACCTTGTCCATGTGTTAGAAAGCTGACTAAAGTTGCTAAGTTTTGCTTGAGGACAAGCAAAAAGTTAAGTTTGGGGGTGTGATTACGCTTGTTTATACGCCTAAAAAGAAGGTTTTAGATGCTGTTTTTACTATGTTTTAACTTTGTTTCGGACTTTTTCCCGGTCGTTTGAGTTCTAATTCATGCAAAAATCATATATGATGGTTTGTGGTTGGCTTATATTGTATTTATAACATTTTAGGACGATTTGGGAGTGCAAATTAATCAAAATAATCAAAAAGTCGGAAATACCAACATGGGAGGCGCCAGGCGCCTGGGAAGGCTGCAGAAAACAGTTTTTCTTCCAACTTTGCCCTTAATGAAACGCGTCTTCCAATGCGTTGTGGTGGTTCCAACCGATGCATACGTGTAGAAGAAGTGTTCCACTATCAGTTTGAGCACGATTTAGTCAGTCAAAGATGTTGGAAATGGGTGGTTCACCATCGTTTTAGGACCTACCTCACCAATTATGCACAGCTATAAATTCCAGCAGCTTCTCCACCAAATTCATCAAGCTTTGCTTCCTTCTCTTGATCACTTTTAGTGTTTCTTTGTTGCTTTCTAAGTACTTTTTAGTTGCTATCATTAGTTGCTTTTGGTTTTTAAATCCCGAGCACTTTACATTCCTTTATTGAGCTTTGTTTTGTTTCCGTTTCTACTTAGTTATTTTCTACCCATTAAAATTTATAAAAATCCAGCACTTTGCTTATCTTCCATTTGCCTTTACTTTATTTTTAGTTAAGAGAGTTGTGTTTTTGGAAGAAAGAGCACGTGACACTCCCCCTTGCTTGAAAGAGAAGGGCGAAGCTCTCAATCCCGAGAAAAACTCTCCGTTAGTTAACTTTTGTTTTTCACACATGCATTCCAATTTCAACCATTTTACTTGCTGTATTTTCTTCAATATGTCTTTCTAAATTCCCGTCTCTAGCCCGGTTATGGATAGTTAGCCTTTTATTTYTAAAAARGGKTGCTAAGAAGTAGTGTTTTTGCTTTCCACTCATTACTCAACATGTTTTCCCAAAAAGKTAGGATTTAGAGAAGGCCACTGTAAGTCTTMACAAGTSAATACTGAAAAGGTTGCTTATTTGCATTGTTGAGTRGTTAAACCGAGGAGAGGAGCGCCTTAGACATAAGGGTTTCGCTTAAGTAGCCTAGACATAGGACCTTAACCCGAGGTTGCGACTATTTCCATCCTAAAACTAAGATATTTCTCGTAATAGACATATTACAGAATGTCTTAGGACTTTGAACTTGCTTAGACATAAGTCAAGTGAAAAGCGTAGTCGTTGGTTCCTAAAGTAAAATGCATATCGTCCTTAGCATATCCTTGATTCTTTGATGGCCAACTTGAAGTAATTCGGGCTAGGTTTTACCATTATAAGACCAAATCCCAAATCCAAAACCATTATTTGTGACCACTTCACATTTTACAAGAATCACTCATATCAACATTCACTATACTTTAAAACTTTAGAGTTTGGAAATTATTTAGAAGTCCTTGAGGATCGATACTTGGATACTCCATCCATTTTATATTACTCTGATAGGTGTGCGCTTGCATCTATAGAATTGTTACCACGCTTAGTGCGTGCGTTCAGCATAAACGTCCAGTCAGTTAGCTTGAGAATATGTTCAAGTTGGAGCCAAGTAGCCGGAAGTGTTCCGTCCAGAAGGTTCTAGTGAATCTTCCATCTCTATCACTCACGATGCTTTTGGGGACACCTCATAGTTTCACTATGCTCTTGAAGAATAGTTGTGCTGTCATCTCTACGAAACACATCTTCGGAGTTGGGATAAAGGTTACGTATCTGGAGAATCTGTTGACAATAACAAGGACAACTTCGAATTCTCCAACCTTGGGCAGGTGGGTGATGAAGTCCAGGGATAAGCTCTCCTAAGGCCTTGATGGCATTGGGAGGGGCTCCAGTAAACCGACAATTTTAGTTCTCTCGACTTTGACTTGTTGGCAGATGAGACAGGTCTTGGTGTATTGCATAACATTGTCTCGCAGGTTCGGTCAGTCGTACCCTTTCTTCAGTATGGCATATGTTATCTGCCACCCAACGTGGCCAACCCACATGGTGTCATGGCATTCTCCCATCAGGAGTTTCCTCAGGTTTCCTGCTCGCAGAACATGGAGACGATTGGTTTTGCTAAAACTGAGGTCGTCTTCGACCCAAAACTGGCAGGTCCTTCCGTATTTTACTAGCTGAATGATTATTTGGACTGCTGGATCGTCTTTCAGGTGTGCCTTGATGGCCTCACGAACAGACCCCGTCAACTTGCTTGCTTTCAGATGAAATAACATGCACAGGGCCACATGTTCGCTCTTTCGACTAAGGGCGTCTGCTGCTTGGTTTGATCAACCAGGCCGATGTTCGAATTGGAAGTCGAATTCGGCGAGGTACTCTTGCCATCGGGCTTGTTTTGAGGACAACTTCGACTGATTGAAGAAATGACATATCGAACTGTTGTCGATTTTGACAACGAACTTGGAGCCTAATGGATGTTGTAAGGAGGAGACTTGATCGGAAAGACCATTAGCTATGCCACATGCAATTAATTTCTTTTAGTTAGGGTAGTTGTGGCTATTTAATCGTGTAGTTGAGTTGTTAGCGGTTGGTCTTGTTTAGTTTTATGGTCTAAAGGATGTTATAAGGTTGCCGATTCATTATTCTTTTTAGAGCATTAATTGTGTTAGCTTCTCGAACTATGAGATTGTAACCTAATTAGGGTATTTATGAGTACATTTGTTTAAGTTGATCGTACTTGATTAAGTTCTTGCTCCATTGTCATTCGAGATGTTAATTTTCTTTTAGTGGATGGTTTATAGTTAGTAGAGGTCTCCTTGAAGGGTTTGGTTGATGTGAAGTCGGTAGTTAATGGTTTATCTGTACAGGATGAGAGTTTATCTTAAACCTTTAGTGGGTTGTTCTAATTGTTCAAGCTCACGTGAGTGTTGAAGATCAGAGTAGCGCAGCAGAAGCGTGGTAGCATTATTGCTTAGTTTTGTTGTGAAGACAATTCTCTTCTTTTTATGAAAATTTTAGGTAGTCTTAGTAACGGTCCATGTTGGGAAATGGTGAAATTCCTGGGGCGTTACATTCGCGGTCCGGTCTTATACAAACTCATTGTACATGATACCCCCACTCGCATGTCTCCACACGAACGACCTGGATCGAGTTGTCTGTAACCTTTACAGATTGGACCGTATCCATAGTGTTGCCAGGATAAGGTACCCAGCCTTATCCATATACTATAAACCCTTTAGGTTATTCACGGGATATTATCCCTTCCTATATGAGAGGTATATCAAATATATACTCTGTATATCAAATATATACCCAGTATATATACTGTCCCGATTACAATCAAATAACCTTAGATGTTTAGTTTATTGGATTTGGACAATGCAATGCTATGTTTCAACAACAAATTTATGGAATAAAACTTTATTGAATATACATTTGTTTTTACATAATACAAACTACGAGTTTAGGGCAACACACCCAACAAACTCCCACTTGAACTAAACTCGTGTGGGGTGTACATTATCATAAAACAAAGGGAAAATACAATAAACTAGGACATACAGTATACCCATTACATTTCTCCCACTTGCCATAGACTAATTGTACAATGCTCGTAAACCTAGACTTTTTAGATGGCCCTCAAACACTTTAGCCGTGAGTGCCTTCGTAAAATGATCAGCAATATTGTGCTCTGTAGCGATCTTTGTGACAATCACATCTCCTCGCTGCACTATCTCCCGTATAAGGTGGTACTTCCTTTCAATGTGTTTGCCTCTCTTATGGCTTCGAGGTTCTTTAGAATTTGCCACAGCACCACTGTTATCACAATAAAGTGTGTTGCGCAAGTTCATGTTTGGAACGACTTCCAAATCTGTCAAGAACTTTCTAAGCCAAACCGCCTCTTTTGCTGCTTCACAAGCTGCAACATATTCAGCCTCCATGGTGGAGTCTGCGATACATCCTGGTTTGATGCTTCGCCAAACTACCGCTCCTCCATTAAGAGTGAATACTGACCCCGACGTGGATTTCCTTGAATCCTTGTTTGTTTGGAAGTCAGAGTCAGTGTATCTTGTAAGGATCAAATCCTTAGCGCCATACACGAGCTTGTAATCCCTCGTTCTCCTTATATACTTGAGGATTCCCTTAACAGCAGTCCAGTGATCATATCCTGGGTTGGATTGGTACCTACTGACTATCCTTACCGCATAGCAAATGTCAGGCCTAGTGCACAGCATACCGTACATCAGGCTGCCCACTGCCGAAGCATAGGGTATGCGTTTCATATCCTCAACTTCTTGAGATGTCTTAGGACACTGTTCTTTAGACAGATGAATTCCATGCCTGAAGGGTAATAAACCTGTCTTGGAATTCTGCATCGAATATCGAGCAAGCATCTTATTGATATAAGTTGCTTGAGACAGGGCAAACATTCTGTTCTTGCGATCCCTTAGAATTTGGATGCCAAGAACATACTGAGCTTCTCCCAAATCCTTCATTTGGAACTGAGTCGCTAGCCACTTCTTTATGTCAGTAAGGTATCCTACATCATTCTCAATGAGTAGAATATCATCCACATACAACACTAAGAAGGCTACGGTGTTGTTGACGATCTTATTGTATACACAAGGCTCATCAACGTTTTGGTCAAAAGCATAAGATTTGATCGCAGTATCGAACCTTATGTTCCAAGATCGAGATGCTTGTTTTAGTCCATATATGGACCGTTTAAGCTTGCAAACCTTTTGCTCTTGACCTGGTTCTATGACTTCGGGTTTAGACATATAAATACTTTCTTCAAGATTGTCATTCAGAAAAGCAGTCTTGACGTCCATTTGCCATATCTCATAGTCATAATATGTGGCAATGGACAAAAGTATTCTAATAGACTTAAGCATAGCTACAGGGGAGAAAGTTTCTTTATAGTCCACCCCTTCCCTTTGTATGTAGCCTTTTGCCACAAGTCTCGCCTTATAGGTCTGTACCTTTCCTTCGGCGTCTCGTTTTCGCTTGTTGATCCATTTGCACCCGATGGGTTTTACCCCGTCAGGTTGATCTACAAGTTCCTAAACGGAATTGAAGTAAATCAACTCCTTTTCCAAGTCCATTGCTTTGACCCATTTGTCCTTGTCAGTATCTTCCATTGCCTTCTTATAGGTCAATGGATCCTGGATGCCGTCATCAGGTATGACAACTTGAGTTTCAGTTAAACCCACGTAGCGTTCAGGTTGTGATACAATCCTCCCACTACGTCGAGGCACCCTCAACGCTTGAGATGGATGTGACTGACGTGATGTGCTGGCTTCATCAACAACTCTTGTTGTAGTGCCAGTTTGATCAACAACTCTTGTTGACGTGTTTGTAGCCTCTTCGGAAATCTCATTAATTACTACCTTACTCCGTGGTTTATGATCTCGAACATGGCCTTCTTTTATGAAAGTAGCATTTGTCGATACAAACACTCTGTTTACTTTATGATCGAAGAAGATACCACCTCTCGTCTCTTTAGGGTAACCTACGAATAAGCATACTTTTGAATGAGGTTCCAGTTTCTTCGGGTTAGTCATGAGCACGTGTGCCGGGCATCCCCAAATGCTAAAGTGACGTAAACTAGGTTTACGACCCTTCCATAGCTCAAAGGGTGTTTTAGAAACACTCTTTGATGGAACTACGTTCAAAATATAAATTGCAGTATCCACTGCATAACCCCAAAACGAGTTAGGCAACTGAGCATAGCTCATCATTGATTGAACGATGTCCAACAGGGTTCTGTTTCTTCTTTCTGATACACCGTTTTGTTGAGGTGTACCAGGGGCTGAGAGTTGGGATGTGATTCCATGTTCTATCATATAGTCCTGGAATCTCAAGTCCATATACTCTCCACCCCGATCTGATTGAAGTGTTTTAATGGTTTTACCTAATTGATTTTCAACTTCAGTCTTGTACTCCTTGAACTTTTCAAGGGCTTCAGACTTATGTTGCATTAGGTATAAATAACCATACCTTGAATAATWATCKATAAAAGAGATGAAGTATTCATACCCTCCTCGAGCTYTAACATTCATCGGACCACAAAGGTCTGAATGTATAAGTTCTAMRGGCTYTTTGGCDCTATAAYCTTTTCCAGTAARAGGTCTTTTAGTCATCTTGCCTTCAAGACAAGACTCACATGGYGGTAAAGAATCGTCTTCTAACTCACTTAGAATGTCATTCTTAACCAACCTCCCAATCCTATTGAGATTAACGTGACCTAATCTTAAGTGCCAAAGATAGGTATCTTCCTTTTGAGAAACTTTTTACCTTTTATTTTGAGTTCTAGCATTTTTAAACAACTCGGTATTTAAGACTGCTTTAGTTATGATTGGTCTTAGCACATACAAGTTGTTTTCAAGTAAAGCTGAACAAACGTTACACCATTTCTTGAAATGAACACTTCATTTAAATGAAATGAAATTGAATACATCTGTTCTAACAAACAAGAAATTGAAATTAAGTTCCTTCTAATTTTAGGAACAACGTACACATTATCTAATTAAAATTTCAAGTAATTAAAATTGTCTTAACGAGTATTGTGGGGTGCTAATACCTTTCTCATACACGAAAGACCACCAAACCTAAATCGTTTTGCACTTATCAATTTATCCATGCAGTTTTCGTGGCCAGTCACACCCTATAAACAAAGACTGGTGGCAACTCCATCTATTTCCTCTCGGGAAGAAAGTCGGCCACTTCGTGTCGCGAACCTGTAGCGATAGTTTTTATATATGTTTCATTTGAATCAATGAAAA